CTTCTCGAGCTGCTCTTTGAAATCTTCTGTTCATCTCTTTTATCTTGTCATTTCTTCCATTGGCTTTAGCTACTCTCTGCTCAAGGGCAAGTTTCACAGTCTCTTCTGTCATCCATTTTGGTCTTCTCTTCTTTTCTCGTCTTTTTAGTGACCTCTTGCTTTCTTCATGGATGATATTCTTGATGTCATCCCACAGTTATTCTTGTTTTCAGTCATTGGTGTTCAGTGCATCAAATCTATTCTTTAGATGGTCTCTAAATTCAGGAGGGGTATATTCAAGATCATATTTTGGCCTTTGTGGGCTTGTTTTAAGTGTCTTCAAGTTGAACTTGCATATGAGCAGTTGATGGTCTGTTCCACAGTCAACTCCTGACCTTGTTTTGGCTGAAGATATTGAGCTTTTCCATTGCCTTTTGCCACAGATGTAGTCAATCTGATTCCTGTGTGTTCTGTCTGGCGAAGTTCCATCCAAACAATAGACAGGCATACAGGGTGAACATTTATATTAGGTAGATACCTTCTGTGGTGGTTATGTTTTTGTCAACTTGGCTGGGCCTGGTTGAGTGGCTGGGCAGCTGATGGTAGTTATTCCCCAATCAACTCCATGGTGAGTTCTACCACAAGCAGCTGAGTAGCTGCCTTTGGGATGTGGTCTGCTTCCTGTATATAAGAAGCAACTTTGGGAATGGTCTCTGTCTTATGGGATGCTTGGACCCTGCATGTAGCCGTGTCGTTTTTCAGCAGCCTGCTCTGATCTGCCAACCTTGGGACTTACAATGGACTTAAGTTAATGGCCTGCTGTGTGGTTTGGTAACATTGGGACTGTGCCTTTTTACTTGTTAACCTTGGGGCTTCTCAGCCTCAGCAGCCAGCAGCTTGTCTGAGTGAAGAAACGCCTCTAGCTCCAGTGAGCAGGGAGAAGGAGGCAGAGCTGGACCCCGAGGTTGAGGGGCTTTCACCCAGCCCCCAGAGCCTGGCACTTTGAACTTGGACTTAAAGCCTCCAAACTGTAAGAATAAACTCCTGTTTGTTAAGGCCTTCCCATTTGTGGTATATTTCTGTCAGAACAGCACTAGGTAACCAGAACACCTTCCTTAGGATGATCAGTCATGGGAGAACAAAATGGCAGTATTTGCACAGAGAGATAGCTCAGGGGGCAGGAATGCATAGGAAAGAAGGACACAGAGAAGTAACTTCAGGGAGGAAGTGGGAAGAGAGCTGTTACATTGTGGGAAATTGCTGTCAACATCAAATAAAATGTGTATGAACTGCTGTATGGAAAACTTTCACCTAAATCACAGCCAAAAAAAAAATTTTTAATAAAGTTAAAAGATGTAAAATAATAATAATAATAAAAGAAAGAAAGACCCATTTTATTCTTCACTGCAGCTAGGTGCCTCCCAATAGTCTTTTTTGGAAACTGGCCCCTGTTTCCAGGGGAACCACAAATTCTTAGGCTGAATCAACCGAGCTTTATTTGCCCAACATTTTTTAGTACCAGGGAATTATTAGGAGCCCCTGTGGTACAGTGATTAAGCACTGGGCTGCTAACCAAAAGATCAGCAGTTGAAACCCACCAGCTACTCTGTGGGAGAAAGATTTGGCAGTCTGTAAAGATTATAGCTTTGGAAACCCCATAGGACAGTTCTACTTTGTCACATGGGGTTGCTGTGGGTCAGAATCAATTAATGGCAAAGAGTTTATTTTCACCGCTAAATTCTTTTGGCATGCAGACCTCGGTATGATCTTGCCCCTCTTTCTTGGTCTCAGCTCTTGCCATGCTCTCTCTCACTTGATACTCTTCAGCCACACTGGACTTCTACCAGTGGAACATATTATTTCCTGCCTTAGGAATTTAGTGTACATTGTTCTCTCCAATGGGAAACTTCTTTACATCTACCTGAGCCTCTCATTTGACTGGTAAAAAAAATAATACATTTACTTTCTGCAGTTTGTTGTTATATCCCCTGTACTTATCTCAATGTCAGGTTTAACATAGGTACACTTACATATATATATATATATATATATGAGTACATATATATATATATGAGTACATATATACTGTGTGAACTAATTTATCCTTTAGTTCTTGGTATCTCTTGACTCTGATGAACTTCCTTAAAATTTGACCACTCTGCTTTGCCATTCTGTTAGTTATGTCAAGTTCTTCATTATTTGCCTGGATCTCCTCGTTTGTTCTAAGTTCTGACTTCTAGATCATCCCAGTTCATACTTGCCTTCCATGCTTCTGCCTTCCTAACTGAACAGATCCTTATTCTTTATGTATGCCCTGATTCTTACTTGTTTACCTCTACCTTTTTGGACACCTGCCTAATCCTTGTCAAAACTGGCTTTTTACCCATGACCCAGTGTCTCTCCTGGCTCTTATGAATGCTAGTGGAATTGCAATACACACCAAACACACACCACAGTAATGTTTCTAATCTTTGTTGCACTTGGACCAGTTTCTTGGGATATGAATGATTACAGTGGGGATTTGCACAGTCATGGACAATAACTCTACACATAGGTCAGCTTTCGTTTCTACTACTGTCCTCCAACATAATGGGGAAAGACTGGCTAGTTCATCATTTCTATCCATACTTAGATTTAGCAAGTCATTCAGCCACTCACCTCGATAGAAAATAACTTCTTTAAAATTTCCAATTAAGCCATCTTTCTATAATACCACTCATTCTCAGTTCTTCTTGTTAGACTTAATCACTTACATAATACCTGATTCTTCCACTAATCTATGGGTCCAACTCAACAGCACATAACAACAACAACAACAATCCAGTTGTTATTTCTTGAGTGACCTTTTTGCCAATTATCTTTCTCAGATCATCTTTATTTGTTGTATCAATAAGCCAAGTAACAAATAACATATTACCATATTTTCTTTCCATATATTTCAATCTTAATATCCAGGAAGCCTTGGCTCAAGCTTTTTGGATTGACATCAAGCGCATGGATGACCCAGAATGTTACTTTAATATTTTACCAAAGGAGTTAGAAGTAAAAAGAGATCGGATGGTCCATTTACTTGAAAGTGTTGGGCTAAAACCTGTTGTTCCTGATGGAGGATACTTCATCATTGCTGATGTATCTTTGCTAGGTTTGTAAAGATTTTTATTATTTCAAATATACTGACACTAATATGTGAAATTACAGCAACATTGTGGGGAAAAGATTGGTATAAAAGCATATCAGCCTTTTAGCTATGGAGAAGGATGGATTTTAATGATATCAATGTTTATGTACAATTATGTGTACTTCTAGGTTAAGGTTCTACCTTAAATGTGACTGTTACATGATTACAGAGCCAGTGTTGTTCTAGATAATCTATTAAAGAAATTTGCTGTTATTTTGTTCCAGTATGCAATTTAAAACAAGTGTATATAAAATATTTATGTATTTTGTGTTCATTTGAGTAAAATTTTCCTTTTCACTTAAGAACAAGGCATTTCTTTTTTTTTTTTAGAAAAATAAGGTCTTTGGAAATTTTGAAGCTATAGGGGAATGTTTGCCATTTGATTGTATTGAAGTAAAGAAGAAAAATCTACTTATGAAAGGTCCACTATGTGTCCAGCATTCATAACACCCTTTTTAAGAACATTGCTAGCTCAGTTTTTACAGATGAAAAGACTTAAAAATTTTAAATAACTTGCCTGAAGTCATACAGCTAGGTTCTAAATAGTTCTGTCTCCAAAAAGCAGTGGAAGCTGTTATATGTAATTCTGACATGCCATACAAATCTAAAGTTAGAAGCATGATTAGTTATATATAACTTGTTTTTCTTTTAAAAACTATAATGTTAATAATAATAGACTTCAAAGCATAATTTATTCTGGCAGAAATTACAGTCATCTTAAGTACAGTTTTAAACATTTTGAAGTTTTATTATAATGAATTTATATGCTATTGAACTTGAAATGCTTCTATTTAATACCAATTTTAAGCAGCTAATAAGGCATCTTTGGTGGCATAGTGCCTAAAGCATTTGACTGCTAACCAGAAGGCTGGTGGTTAAAACCCACCAGCCACACCTCAGAAGGAAGGTTGGGCAATCTACTTCCGTAGTGATACCACCTCAAAAACCCAAGGAGGGGTCACTATGAGTCAGATCCGACTTGATGGGTGTGAGTTTGGTTGTTTTTTTTTTTTTTTTTTTTTTTTTAGAAAGAATAAAAGAAACTTCTGATCTTATAATAATGATTATTATAGTATTTTTGAATTTTATATCCTTCATGTAGAAATTATTTCTAATGGAAAAGCATTTTATGTTAGCAGTTTCTACTTCTTGTAACACTTTATTATCATCTTCATAGGTTTCAAGGAAGTGAGATTTTATTCAAATTGAAGCAGGCCTCTCCTTGCATGCACTTTAACTGATTTTTCTTTTGTTGTGTGCAAACTAGAGGCCATGGAAAGCAAAGGTTCTTAGAGTTCCGTTGCCAGAGAGCTATGTTTGGCAAACTTCCAAACCTCGTTCTTTAAAATTCCTTAAAATATGCTAGACTCTGAGGTTTGGAAAGCACTTTTCCTATATTGAGTCTATATGTGGAGCCCATTTCATGAAATGATGAAAAGAGATAACATATTTTTCATCTCTGGTATTTTTTGCCTTGATCAGAAATGCATAAGATTTTCAATATAAATTATTTTGTTTGTTCAAAAGGAAATGACTTATAATTCTTCTGCCTCCAAAAGGAATTTGAGCTAACTCATATTAAAGGGTTTCTATGTAATAATGTGGAGCTGTGGTGGCACAGTGCCTAAGGCATTTGACTGCTAACCAGAAGGTTTGTGGTTTAGACCCACCAGCCACTCCATCGGAGGAAGACTGAGCAATCTACTTCTATAAAGATTTACTGCCTTGGGAACTCAAAAGGGGTCACTATGAGTTGGAATCAACACTGTAGCAGTGAGTTTTTAGTTTATGTAATAATATATGAAAAGAAAATCAATGTCATGTAGTAGAAGGAAGTAGCAATATTTCAGTCAAATAGGTTCATATAGTATTGTAATTAACATTAACGAGACCTAAAATGTCTTGGCAGCAAAGACAAATAGAAAAATGAAATTAGTTACATAATTCTTAGATAAAAGGAACCAGAGCAACTTTTTATATAGGAAGAACTCTTTCCTGGAACCAAACATTTCCAAGTAGTATTGAAATTTATTATATTGTGACATTAAACATCAAAAAGAAGGTTACAACTTTTCTTTGGATTGTTACATTAAGCTCTTAATTACTTTCCCATTCTATCTTCAGTTAGTCTGTCTGCATGCATTACTAGTTTACTACCATCCTACTGTAGCTTAGTTTTGAACTTGTATGGTTGAAATAGCAGTAGAAAGGATTTTGGTTAGAAAATACTTTCTCATGACTGGGGAAAAAGATAAATGCACTGTCCCTCCATTATGGCCCTCCTTATACTCATTTTGTGTGTTTGGCCGGGGGGAGGGGGATGTTACTATCTCTAAGCCCCTCCTATATATAAAAACAGGTTTGTTTCATTTTACTTTTTCATCTTTTCACCTTTGGCTTCACCAATTTGCTAAAGATAAAACCAAAAATTTCCATTTTATGGTAGATTAAGAATAAACTAAACCATAATATTCATGGGCATAGTAATTACTTTCTTCACAGTTAATAACAATGACATACTGGTTTACATTCAGTGAGCATTTATGAAATACAGTATTTTTATGCAAATAACGTATGTGTTGTTTTTTTTTCTAACAGCTTTTCCAGATCAATTTTATTTAATCTTAGCATTTTTGCATGTTATATGTATGGGCATGTTATTTGTGAAAAATACGCTCACAGATACTGTGCTAAAAGCATTACAATGGTCACAAATGTCAAGTGAGGTCAGGACTATTATATCCCCATTCATCGATGAGATAAAGGGACAATCAAGTAATTTAACAAAATTAGTCAACCAATAAGTAAGTAGTAGAGCGGGGCTGTGAACCCAGAGATCCATAGCCTAACCACTGAAATTATCCATCTTCTGTACTAAGCAATTTTTCAGATCAATGCTCTGGTAGCATAGTGGCTAAAGCACTTGACTGCTAACCAGAAGGCTGGTGGTTCAAACCCACCAGCCACTCCTCGGAAGGAAGGTTGGGCAATCCTACTTCCGTAGTGATACTGCCTCGGAAACCCAAGGAGGGGTCGCTATGAGTCGGGGCCGACTCGACGGCACATAACAACAACAACAACAAGAAAGGGAGCATTTGATAAGAAGACAAGATGGTAAATAAGGAGATTATTGTAGTTGTCCTAGTGAAAGATAATAAGGTCCAGAATTGTGGAGATGGTAGTGGGAATGCAACAACCAATTTTTATTTTTGTAGGTTATTTTTAAATGTTTATGCTATTATAGCATGGTTTAAACTCTTACTTTCAATAAAGAAAACTTTGTTTAGTTCATTTGAGGATCTGTGGCTCAGGCAATTCAAAAGAAATAGATTTTAACTTCCTTTTACCTATAAAGCCTATAGAATTAAATTTATTCCTCTCTCTCCTTTTGGGCAGCATCATAATAAACTCCTGTTTTCTAAACATTTTTATAAGAATAATTGAGTAGTACAGCCACTGTCAGTTGTAGTTAGTTAAACTCACACTCTTCCTTCTACTCCCATAGTTAATCATTCCTTTCTCCAATTACCTTTGCACCTTGAGTATGCAACTATTGTGTACTTGTTACATTGAGTTTTCATATAACGTACAGTTTGATTGTAGCTTCTTAAGGTATCATTTTTGTTAGGATCAAACTTTAATTAAACATACATAAAATAAACACATATACCTTGAAATAATAATTTAACACTCTGTCAATTTCCTCATCTTTAAAGTGAGGATAATAACTACCTCTCAAAATTACAGTGATGATGAAATGAAAGAATGTAGCATATTTAGCAATAAATAGTATATTTTTACTATTATAATATGGAATTTTTTTTCATTCTCCTTAAAGCACAAGGGAGGATGGAAATAAAATCAACTAAAAACATATAATACTTTTTTCTTTTAAATAGAAGTAAAAACTTTCTCCAATGTCAAGGTGTTAAACAGTTCATTTTTAAAAGCCAATATTTACTAAATAAAAGAAAGAAGTAAAATAGCTGCCTCGATTTGTTTTGAACAATAAACTATAGAATTTTATTGAATAGCATAACTAGTGTTATTAGCCTTAGTTACTTTGGCCCAATCAAGTAGATTGAACAGTACAAGTCAGTAATGTTGGAGCAATATGAAATACAGACGGCTCAAACTAAATGCCAGACCAATTTAAAATTTTATATATATATATATATATATATATATGTGTGTGTGTGTGTGTGTGTGTGTGTATATATGGTATAATACAGAAG